GGTTTAGTCTTGGTCTCGGGGTGGTCTCGTGGCTCGTTAGTCTCTCCGTTGTGTTCGTTAACGCGCGCGCGCTCTGACGGTAATTCGATCGGACGTGCGCGCGCGCGGACGCATGAATTTAAACATGAGTCTCACCTTGGCTCGCGCTCATTTGCATACGGGCATGTTGTTAGCGCGCGTCCAATTAACCGCGCGCCGCCAAACGGATGCGTCCGCGCGTAATGGATGTGCTCGTGCGTAATGGATGCGTCCCGCCACAAGATGGAACGAGCGCGAGGATGACAGGAGCCGATACGCACGCGACGAGGAAGGTCAGCGCGCGCACCGCATTAACATCCAGACACGAGGAGGGGGGTCTGGACCAGGACCGGACCGGGACCGAACCAGGACCGGACCAGGACCGGACCAGGACCGAACCAGGACCGAACCAGGACCGGACCAGGACCGGACCAGGACCGAACCAGGACCGGACCAGGACCGGACCAGGACCGGACCAGGACCGGACCAGGACTGAATCTGGCTTGGCCTCCCCGTGTGTGTTAGGTGCCCTTCCCTCGTGTGTGTCAGGTGCCCTCCTCCCTGTGTGTGTGTCAGGTGTCCTCCCCGTGTGTGTCAGGTGCCCTCCCTCGTGTGTGTCAGGTGTCCTCCCTCGTGTGTGTCAGGTGCCCTTCCCTCGTGTGTGTCAGGTGCCCTTCCCGTGTGTGTCAGGTGCCCCTCCCCGTGTGTGTCAGGTGCCCTCCTCGTGTGTGTCAGGTGTCCTCCCGTCGTGTGTGTCCCTCGTGTGTGTCAGGTGCCTCCCCGTTGTGTCAGGTGCCCTCCCTCGTGTGTGTCATGGTGTCCTCCCTCGTGTGTGTCAGGTGCCCTCCCTCGTGTGTGTGTCAGGTGCCCTTCCCTCGTGTGTGTCAGGTGCCCTTCCCTCCTGTGTGTCAGGTGCCCTCCCTCCTGTGTGTCAGGTGCCCTTCCCTCGTGTGTGTCAGGTGCCCTCCCTGTGTGTCAGGTGCCCTCCCTCCTGTGTGTCAGGTGCCCTCCCTCGTGTGTGTGTCAGGTGTTCTCCTCATGTGTGTCAGGTGTCCTCCCCATGTGTGTCAGGTGCCCTCCTCCCCGTGTGTGTCAGGTGCCCTCCCCATGTGTGTGTCAGGTGCCCTTCCCTCGTGTGTGTCAGGTGCCCTCCCCCATGTGTGTCAGGTGTTCTCCTCATGTGTGTCAGGTGTCCTCCCCGTGTGTGTGTCAGTGTCCTCCCCGTGTGTGTGTCAGGTGTCCTCCTCCCCATGTGTGTCAGGTGCCCTCCTCCCCATGTGTGTCAGGTGCCCTCCCCATGTGTGTGTCAGGTGCCCTCCCTCGTGTGTGTCAGGTGCCTCCCCATGTGTGTCAGGTGTTCTCCTCATGTGTGTCAGTGCCCTCCTGTGTGTCAGGTGTCCCTGTGTGTGTGCCTCCCCGTGTGTGTCAGGTGTTCTCCTCATGTGTGTCAGGTGTTCTCCCCATGTGTGTCAGAGGGACTTTTGTTGTGTTCTGTTGAATGTCGTAGTGGATAAATCCGAGTCAGTTTTCCCGACGTCCGTTATAAATCGTTCTAGTGCAACAGTCGGGAAAATCCGGAGAAAGAGTCTGTTAGTAAACGTGAGCTGTCGGCGATTTATTTCAGTTTGACTTTTACACATTCAGAAAAAAAACTTGTGTTACTGTTGAATGACGTGAGAGGAAGTCTGTATGTACGGAAGCCGAGAGGGTCACAACAAACGCAAACGCCGCAACAAATACAAACGCCACAAACACAAACACAAATGCACAAACACATCAAAAAGCCACAACACATTAAAAAGCCACAACACATCAAAAAGCCACAACAGAAGTGACCGCCGGACTCTATTTTCCGAAGGACCAATCAAGCGGCAAGTGAAGAAGAAGAACTACAACGTGAAAAGTAAAGGAACGGAGAAGTTGGAAACGTAAGTAAAAGTAATTTATTGTTTTATCATTATTCGGTTCACGTTGTAGTTCTTCTTCTTCACTTGCCGCTTGATCAGTCCGTTGGAAAATAGAGTCCTGCGGTCACTTCTGTTGTGGCTTTTTTTTGTGTTGTGGCTTTTTAATGTGTTGTGGCATTTTAATGTGTTGTGGCTTTTTAATGTGTTGTGGCTTTTTGATGTGTTGTGGCTTTTTGATGTGTTGTGGCATTTGTGTTTGTGTTGTGGCGTTTGTTTTGTGGCGTTTGTATTTGTTGCGGCGTTTGCGTTTGTTGTGACCCTCTCGACTTCCGTACAAACGTCACTGCAGAGTTTTTACAGACACTTTCTCTACACAAACACAAACTGAACATCAACACGACCAAAAGACGATTCTGCCCGTTCACTGTGAGGCCAACATTTCACTGTGACGTAAATCCAACCGCTCAACCAGCTCAAGTTTGTGTTTTGAACCCAGATCTGATGGTCCGTTCCATTGCACTTTCTCGAGGTGGAGGTCGGTTTTCCCCAAGTCCCGAGCTCAGGAGAACGTCTGGATGCACGTGTCTGGGAACGCCCTGGGACTCTCTGAGCAGCCGGAGGAAGTGTCCGGGGAGGGGGAAGTCTGGGCGTCTCCGAGACAGAAGAAGAAAACAGACTGACAGATTTTTAAACATTTACCTACGACTCCACAATCTCGTCCTGTGCTCCTCTGCAGTCACTTCATTATATTTATTTATTTACATTTCCCGGTGTTTTTTTGTTTTTGTTTTACTGTGTCACTTTTCTCAGAGTTCTGGTCTGCTGGTCTCCATGGTGATGTTTTTGCTCTGTCTGGAATGTTCCACAGTGTGGTATTCTGAGTCTGTGAGTGGAGAGGGGGCGGGGACAGGTGAGGCAGGTGTGAGGAGCTTTGGAACTGAAACTGACACACACAGGCTCCGTCAGACTCCTCATAATGTAACAGGATCAAAAAATCAGATTTTTATAAAAAATAATTTAAGAAAATACGACTTTTACGATTATGCAGGAGTTGGAATTTTGTGTCACATTATCAGAGAAATAATATTTAAAAACAGAAGAATTTCCTCCTGCTCCTCGCTGATCTGCAGACACATGTTCAGGTCAGAAAAAGGCCTTGAGCTTCATGAAGTGTTCAGATAGAAAAGAACTTTAAAAACACAGAGGAGCACGTCCTGGAATAACAGAAGGAGCAGAGCAAAGGAGAGAGAGAGAGACGGAGTGAGAGACTGAGAGAGAGAGACAGAGAGAGAGAGAGAGAAATGAGAGAGACAGCAAAGAGAGAGAGAGATGGAGTGAGAGAAAGGGAGAGAGTGAGAGAGAGTGAGTCAGAGTGAGAGAGATGGAGAGACAGACGGAGAGAGACAGAGCGAGAGATGGGAGTGAGAGATGAAGAAAGAGAGACAGAAAGAGAGAGAGAGATGGAATGAGAGAGGGAGATGGAGTCAGAGTGAGGGTGTGACAGAGAGACAGAGTAAGAGAGAAAGAGAGAAACAGAGTGAGAGAGAGACAGGTAGAGAGAGACGGAGTGAGAGAAACAGAGAAAGAGAGAGAGGTAGACTCTTCATCTTTCATCAGAGGAATAATAAAGTGCATTAGTTTATGATAAAAACATGAGGTCACGTGATTCACTGAACCATTTCAACCTCTACTCCTCCTCTCCTCCCTCCTTTCCTCCCTCCTTCTCTTCCTCTCTCCTTCCCTCTCTCCTCTCCTCTTCCTCTCCTCCTCGCTCCTTTTTCATCTCTCTCTCCTCCTCCTCCTCCCTCCTTCCCTCTCTCTCCTCTTCCTCCCTCCTTCTCTCCTCCTCTTCCTCCCTCCTTCTCTGTTGTGGGCGTGTCTTGTTCCAGGCTCCTCCTTCAGACCGGAGCGTCTTGGAGTCTGTGCCCGGGTTTGGAGCGCTGGTCTCCGGCTGTGCCCGCGCTGTGCCCCCCGCTGTGCCCGCGCTGTGCCCCCCGCCGTGCCCGCGAGCCTCCTCGTGCCCTCGCCATGTCTCGTGCGCTCGTGCTCGTGGCGCTGATGCTGTCGGTGTCGTTCGTAGATTCACGGAGCGGACCGAAAGTCACGGAGAAGGTACCGGAGCCTCCGCCGCATTTATCTCTATCCGCAGCGCGTGCGTGTGAGCGTGCGCGCGCGTGTCGAGCCGTGCACGTGCGTAGGTCTGTTATAGCTATAGGGATAGCTCACGCGCACGAGCGTAAACAGACGCGTAAATGCCGGAGGGGAGCGCGTGCGTGTGCGCAGTAGCTCAGTGTCACGTAGGCGCGCGCACACAGCTGTCCACGTGCGCACTCGGACGGAGCTAATGCGCGTGCGCGTGAACAGCTGACCCGCAGAAAAATCACGGCTCCCACTGCGACGGACACGCGCACGGACACGCGCACAGACAGAGACCCGGATGAGACGAGCTCAGACTCAAAACGAAGAATCAGATCATCTTCATCAAATCATCTTCATCAAATCATCTTCATCAAATCATCTTCATCAAATCATCTTCATCAAATCATCTTCATCAAATCATCATCAATCATCATCATCATCATCTTCATCAAATCATCTTCATCAAATCATCTCATCAAATCATCATCATCATCATCAAATCTTCATCAATCATCTTCATCAAATCATCCTCATCAAATCATCTTCATCAAATCATCTTCATCAAATCATCTTCATCAAATCATCTTCATCAAATCATCTTCATCAAATCATCTTCATCAAATCATCCTCATGTGGATTTATGATTTAGATTTCAGCACTGTTCTCCTCTGTTCCTCTGTTCCTCTGTTCTTCTGTTCCTCTGTTCCTCTGTTCTCTGTTCTTCTGTTCTTCTCTCTGACCTCGTCTCGTGTCGTAGGTTTTCTTTGACGTGACGGTCGGGGGTCATGAGGTCGGCAGAATCGTCATCGGACTCTTCGGAGAAGTCGTCCCACTCACAGTCGCCAACTTCGTCGCCCTGGCAACGGGAGAGGTCAGATGCCCTCCCGTCCTCGTGTGTCAGATGCCCTCCCTCTTCTTTCACACACACGTTTAAGTGTTAATCTGTTTTTCCGTTCTTTTTTTTCTTTGTGCAGAAGGATTACGGATTCAAAGGCTCCAGGTTCCATCGCGTCATTAAAGATTTCATGATCCAGGGAGGAGACTTCACCAACGGAGACGGGACCGGAGGTACCACCCCGACTTTAAAGCTGCACTCTGTAACTTTTCGGTTGGGGGTCCGTCACCTGTTTGTTTCTATGGAGACGTCACTGTTCTGTCTGGAATGTTCCACAGTGTGACTTTAAACAGCTCCACGTTTACATTTATTCACTTACAGGAGGGTTCAGGTTCTTTCTCTCGTCTAGTTTGATTCTTCGTTCGTCTCAGGCAGTAAAATCGTTCTTGTGTCACAGACTCCAGTTTGGTCCTTTCACACCAAACAAACCAAACCTGGACCTTCTGATGTTTCTCCAAGTCTCCTGAACACAGCAGGTCCCTCTTCCCCTGAGCGGAAGTCGGGGATCTCGGACTCACAAACCTACAGACCACCGGCCCCCGTCCCCCATCATACGTCACACCCCAGAACCCAGAACCAGCGCGCGAGGGTAGAAATTGAGGAGGGTTGGCGCACTCACACGGACCTGCTGTTTCTGGTTTGGACCTGAGGTGGAGTCTCAACAGAGCGACCAGGGTTTGGTGTTTGGTGGAGTGTCAAGCAACCGAGACTGAAGATTTCACACCAACCAACCCAAAACCAACCAACACCAACCCAAAACCAGCGAACACCAACGAACATCAACGAACACCAACGAAACTAACGGACACCAACGAAACTAACGAACACCAACGAAACTAACGAACACCAACGAAACTAACGGACACCAACGAAACTAACGACACCAACGAAACTAACGAACACCGAACACCAACGAACTAACGAACACCAACGAAACTAACTAACGAACACCAACTAACGAACACCAACGAAACTAACGAACACCAACGAAACTAACGAACACCAACGAAACCAACGAACACCAACGAAACTAACGAACACCAACGAACATCAACGAACACCAACGAAACTAACGGACACCAACGAAACTAACGAACACCAACGAACACCAACGAAACCAACGAACACCAACGAAACTAACGAACACCAACGAAACTAACGAACACCAACGAAACTAACGAACACCAACGAAACTAACGACACCAACGAAACTAACGAACAACGGACACCAACGAAACTAACGGAACACCAACGAAACTAACGAACACCAACGAAACTAACGGACACCAACGAAACTAACGAACGAACACCAACGAAACTAACGGACACCAACGAAACTAACGACACCAACGAAACTAACGGACACCAACGAAACTAACGGACACCAACGAAAACTAACGGACACCAACGAAACTAACGACACCAACGAAACTAACGGACACCAACGAAACTAACGACACCAACGAACACCAACGAACTAACGGACACCAACGAAACTAACGAACACCAACGAAACTAACGAACAACCAACGAACACCAACGAAAACCAACGAACACCAACGAAACTAACGGACACCAACGAAACTAACGGACACCAACGAAACTAACGAACACCAACGAACAACTAACGAACACCAACGAACACCAACGAAAACCAACGAACACCAACGAAACTAACGGACACCAACGAAACTAACGGACACCAACGAACACCAACAAACAACGACACAACGAAACCAACGAAACTAACGAAACCAACGAAACAAACGAAACTAACGAACAAACGAACAACGAACAAACCAACGAAACCCAACGAAACTAACGAACACCAAAAAACTAACGAAACTAACGAACCAACGAACACGAAACAACAAACGAAACCAACGAAACTAACGAACACCAACGAAACTAACGAACACCAACAAAACCAACGAAACACCAACGAACACCAACGAAACTAACGAACACCAACAAAACACCAACGAACACCAACCCAAAGAAGAACTTCTGGATCTAATGGAACGTTTGGAGCAACAACTGCTGAAAGAACCTTTAGAGCTCTAAATTACCTAGAAAAACAGACATTCAGCAGAAAAGTTACACAGTGCAGCTTTAACCTAAACACATCTGAACCCAGATCTGGACTTTAAACCGTGCCCTCCACTGACCTCTGACCTCTGTCTTCCAGGTCACAGTATCTACGGCTCCACCTTCGCCGACGAGAACTTCAAACTGAAACACCTGGGAGCAGGATGGGTGAGTCCAGACTGAGACCAGACCAAAACCAAGACCAGACCAAGACTAAGACCATGTCCAGACCAAGACCAGAACAAGACAAGAACAAGACCAGACTGAGACCATGTCCAGACCAAGACTAAAACCAAGAGCATGCAGGTGAGCTTGGTGTGCGTGTGTGTAGAGTAAATCCTTTTGTCGCCCTCTTCAGGTGAGCATGGCCAACGCGGGTCCAGACACAAACGGGTCGCAGTTCTTCATCTTGGCCACCAGGGCGCCGTGGCTCGACGGGAAACACGTCGTCTTCGGGAAAGTCCTGGACGGAATGGTGAGGAAAAGAGGGAGTATTATACAGAGAAACGGAAAAAGAGAAGGAGAGAAACAGAAAAGAGAGAAATAGAAAAACAAGAAATCATTTTTATTGAGTTATGTGTTGACATGGACTTTTTTAAAGCAGAATTAATTTTTATTCAGAATTAAATCTCTCATGTAAACATGGCGAGTGTCCAGTCTGGTCCAGTCTGGATGTGCTTCCATTGTAGGGAGTATTATACCTTTGATGACGTAGGCTGAGACGGTGGTGTTGTGGTGTTTCGGTTTAAACCCGTGTGTGTGTGTGTGTGTGTATATGTGTGTGTATATGTGTGTGTGTGTATATGTGTGTGTGTGTGTATGTGTGTGTGTATGTGTGTGTGCGTGTGTGTATATGTGTGTGTGTGTGTGCGTGTGTGTGTGTATGTGTGTGTGTATATGTGTGTGTATATGTGTGTGTGTGTGTGTGTGTGTGTGCATGTGTGTGTGTGTGTGTATGTGTGTTTCAGACGGTGGTTCACACGATCGAGCTCCAGGACACTAACGACAGAAACGTGCCGTACACTGAGTGTGTGATCGTCAACAGCGGACGCATCAGTGTCACCGAACCTTTCACCGTCGAGGTCGAGGGATGGGTCTGAGACGGGGGGGGGGGTCTGAGGGGGGGGGGGGGGTCTGAGACGGGGGGGGGGGTCTGAGACGGGGGGGAGGGGTCTGAGATGGGGGGGGGGGGTCTGAGACGGGGGGAGGGGTCTGAGACGGGGGGGGGGGTCTGAGACGGGGGGGGGGGGGTCTGAGACGGGGGGGAGGGGTCTGAGACGGGGGGGAGGGGGGGGGTCTGAGACGGGGGGGAGGGGTCTGAGACAGGGGGGGGGAGGGGGGGTCTGCGGGGGTCTGGGGGGGGGGGGGGGGGCTTCATTTTTCTGAAAAAGTTTACAAACAAATATGAGATAAACAGATTATAGATCTTTACACATTGTCTGAAGTGTCTCACTGTAGGTTTGGGGAACTTTTTACACACTTACACACACACACTTACACACACTTACACACACACACTTACACACACACACTTACACACACTTACACACACACACACATTACACACACACACACACACACACACACCACACACACACACACACACACACACACATTACACACACACACACACTTACACACACACACACACACTTACACACACATTACACACACACTTACACACACATACACACACTTACACACACACACTTACACACACACTTACACACACTTACACACACACACACTTACACACACACACTTACACACACACACTTACACACACATTTAGACAGAAAAACGGGGTCAGTCTCATCATCAGAAGAGCCTCTAGTCAGAAAATCCATGTTCAGGTCGTGTTACAAATTGTTACAAATGAAATTGTTTTTCAAGTTTTAAATATTTTTAAAAGTAAATATTAAAAGTAATAAATATATTAAACCCTTAAAATACAGCAAAAATGTTTGAGGAAATAATGATTTGGGTGGAAATGGCTTAAGTCTTAAGTGGAACAGGGTGAATAATTGTCTGATTTTCAGGCAACAACTTGTAAAATGTTCAGTAATTCGAGCTCTACAACCTTCATTTCAATTTTATTTTAAATCTTTTTCTTTTAATAAAGCATTGGTGGGTTTGTAAACCAACAAATGAAGTAATTCTGGCCTTAACTAATGCTGTTATACATGATTATGTGTTTTCCTGTCAATATCTCTAAAAATGTTGATGTTGCAGCCATTTTTAATTGGTAAACATCCAAAAGTTTAACTAATTCTTCCCTGATCCAGGGATTATTCCCTGTTGCTTTCATCAAATAAACATTCAATTGTTCGAGAGAAATGCTGCTGACAAACCAATAGAAGAGGGAATGATTTTCTGACTACAGGGCTTTCTGACTAGTGGACTTTCTGACTAGTGGGCTTTCTGACTAGTGGACTTTCTGACTAGTGGACTTTCTGACTAGTGGGCCTTCTGGTGATGAGGGTGTAACCCAGAAAACTCTGAAGTGTAAGTTCCACTGAGCTCCATCGAGACGCTTCAGTCGATGTGTAAAGTTTAAACTCTTAAGAAGGAAGTGCAAAAAGTTTCACTGTGAAAAAACCTGTGAGTCATTTAAAACATCAGACGTACAAACACAAACACACACATGTTCATCACTTTATACGAGAAATATTTAAAAACACATTTTTATACAGGACAAAGTGTCTTTAAACTCAGACAAACGGAGAAGAAAAACTCTGAGCTCTGCTCTTCAGACATGATGCACCATTTTAATATTCAGACATTTTATTATCGAGCAAACACGGAGCTCACACACACACACACACACACACACACACACACACACACACACACACACACACACACACACACACACACACACACACACACACACACACGAGCATTTAGCATCCAGCTAACGTAGCATCAAGCTAATGTAGCATTAAGCTAACGTAGCATTAAGCTAACGTAGCATTAAGCTAACGTAGCATCCAGCTAACGTAGCACCAAGCTAATGTAGCATTAAGCTAACGTAGCATTAAGCTAACGTAGCATCAAGCTAACGTAGCATCAAGCTAGCGTAGCCTGTGCCAAACGTGTTTGTCGAACTGTCCCAGACTCTATGCACCAGAAGAACATTCAAACACTTTATGCAAAAGGATTTATTTATTCTGTGACGTTCTAATGTTCCTCATCACAAACATGAAGAGGTTCTAGAATCATCCATGCATGTTTGAGTCATCTAGTGATCTCTCCTGGGCTCTGTCTGTCTGTCTCTCTTTTTTTTTCCCGCCAACGTGTTTTATGTAAAAATCTTCTGAGACAAAATGTGAAGTTTCATCGATTCAAACTTGTGCCAAGAAACAAAGAAATAAAAGAATTTTTAACCAAAGCCCGAGTCACGAGTGTTTGGAACGAGGAAGAAGAAGAAGAGGAGGAAGAGGAGGAGGAGGAAGAAGGAAAAGGAGGAAAACGAGGAAGAGCGACTGGAGTTTGAAGATTTTGTGAAACAGAAGCTCCAGTCGCCCTGGGGCAGACTGACAGAGGAGAGACTCACAGTCTGCTCCATCTGCTCTGTTCTGTTTTCACCTCCTCCTCTTCCTCCTCTTCTCTCTCTTTTAGTCTTGTCTTTCACATTACAGCTGTAAACACTTGTCCTCTCTTTAGTCTCTTTCTCTCTTTCTCCCTCTCTTGTCCCTTTCTCCTCTCTCTTCCTTCTCTCCTCTCATCTCTTCTTTCACATCAGAGTGGCTTGTGGTTTGTCTTGTAAACACTCGTTCTCTTCTCTTCCTCCGCCTTCTCTCCTCTTCTTCTCTAGTCTCTTGTCTTTCCTTCTCTCCTCATCTCTCTCTCCTCTCGAGTCTTTTGTCTTTCACGTTACACTTGTAAACACTTGTCCTCTCTTCCCACTCCTCCCTTTAGTCTTTTGTCTTTCTCTCGTGTCCCTTTCTCCTCCCTCCGTCTTTCTCCTCTCCTCCTCTTCTCTCTCCTCTTCTCCTTTAGTCTCTTGTCTTTCCTTCTCTCCTCTCCTCTTCTTCTCTCATCTTTTGACTTTCACACTGGAGTGTTTTGTCTTGTAAACTCTTATTCCCTCCTTGCTCTCTCCTCTCCCGTTTCTCTCCTCTCCTCCCTTCAGTCTCTTGTCTTCCTCTCTTCTCTTTCTTCTCTCCTCCTCTCGTTTCTTGTCGTTCTCATCAGGGCGGTTTGTGGTTTGTCTTGTAAACACTTGTTCAGAGTCTCAGAGGAGTTTCTTCTGACCTCAAACATCTCTTCACAGATCTGACCTTTACCTACACACCCATCCCTCCATCCCTCCATCCCCCATCCCCCATCCCTCCATCCCCCCCCCATCCCTCCATCCCTGCATCCCCCCATCCCTCCTCCCATAAACTCTGCTCTTCTGGACACAGGTACATGCAGTAGTAGTAGTAGTAGTAGAAGTAGTAGTAGTAGTAGTAGCAGTAGAAGTAGTAGCAGAAGTAGTAGAAGTACAAGTAGAAGTCGTAGTAGAAGTAGTTCATCTGTTTGTTATTGACCAGGAAGAAACAAAAGCCAAAATGTAAAAATTGTATAAATAAAGTCATAATGTCATAAACAGGATTGTTCAAGGTTAAATGAATAAAACATGAAACTAAAAGGGTCCCCCTCCTTGAACCGTCACCTTATCGTGGTGGAGGGTTTGATGCCCGAATGATCCCGGGAGCTCTGTTGTCGGGGGCTTCATGCCCCTGGTCACCCAAGGCAAACAGGTCCGGGGGGACGGGTCAGACGAAGAACGGTTCAGAAGCCCCACATGATGAGCAACACACAGAGGCCAGTTACGTCGCCCGGATTGGCGTCACCGGGGCCTCACCCTGGAGCCAGGCCTGGGGTGGGTGCTCGCCAGCGAGCGCCTGGTGGCCGAGCCTCCCCCCACGGGGCTCGGCCGGGCTCAGCCCGAAGGAGCGACGTGGGGCCGTCCTCACGTGGGCCCACCACCCGCAGGAGGATCCATATGGGGCCGGTGCAGAGAGATCTGGGCAGGCAGTCGACGGCGGGGGCCTCGGCGACCGGATCTCCGGACATGGAGACTGTGGCTCTGGGGACATGGAATGTCACCTCGCTGGGGGGGAAGGAGCCTGAGCTTGTGCGGGAGGTTGAGCGTTACCGACTAGATATAGTCGGCCTCACCTCCACGCACAGTTTGGGCTCTGGAACCCAACTCCTTGAGAGGGGCTGGACTCTCCATTTCTCTGGCGTTGGCCGCGGGGAGCGGCGGCGAGCTGGTGTGGGGGGGCGGGCTGGTGTGGGCTCATCGCCCCACAGCTCAGTCGCTGTGTGTTGGAGTTCACCCCGGTGAACGAGAGGGTTGCGTCCCTGCGCCTTCGGGTCGGGGACAGGTCTCTCACTGTGGTGTTGGCCTACGAGCCGAACAGCAGTGCTGAGTACTCGAGTACCCGGCCTTCTTGGAGTCCTTGGGAGGGACTAGACAGTGCACCGACCGGGGACTCCGTTGTTCTCCTGCGGGACTTCAACGCCCACGTGGGCAACGACAGTGACACTTGGAGAGGGGTGATTGGGAGGAACGGCCTCCCTGATCTGAACCCGAGTGGTGTTTTGTTATTGGACTTCTGTGCTAGTCACAGTTTGTCCATAACGAACACCATGTTCGAGCACAAGGGTGCCCATAAGTGCACGTGGCACCAGGACACCCTAGGCCGGAGGTCGATGATCGACTTTGTAGTCGTGTCATCTGACCTCCGGCCGCGTGTCTTGGACACTCGGGTGAAGAGAGGGGCTGAGCTGTCAACTGATCACCACCTGGTTGTGAGTTGGGTTCACTGGCTGAGGAGGAAGCCGGAAAGACCTGGCAGGCCCAAGCGTGTAGTGAGGGTCTGTTGGGAACGTCTGGCAGAGCCTCTGTCAGAGGGACCTTCAACTCGCACCTCCGGGAGGACTTCTCCCGGATTCCGGGGGAGGCTGGAGATATGGAGTCCGAGTGGGCTTCATTCTCGGCCTCTATTGTCAAATGCAGCTGCTCGGAGCTGTGGGCGGAAGGTCTGTGGTGCCTGTCGCGGCGGCAACCCCAGAACCCGGTGGTGGACACCGGAAGTAAGGGATG